AAAAAATGTATGCACTCACTAACTGTAAGTCGCTCTGCATAAGAGCGTCTGCTAAAATGACTAAAAATTCCCAGTTTATGCTACAAAACCAACTTCATAAGAGGTTTTAAAAATATGTTCTATTTGACTCAAAGTTCCATAATGTATACTAAGGCATTGTTGGCAGAATAGATGGATGCAGTTCAATGCATGATTAATATAATTCACCAATACATTTCTTGGTGGTCCCCAAAATATTGCTATCAGGTTGTAAATCCCAGCTGGCCTGGTACATTGTTTGCTGCCTCCATTCAGGATGCACTGTTTCAGTTTCAATGACTCAATATTCTGGACAAAAACGGACTAATGTAATTAAGGCTGGGAATGTCAATACAATCAATACAATCAAACTAGCAAGGGCAATGACCACAAGTCAGTCATAATGTGGCTAATAGGCTAATGTATCTATTTATGTAGTAAGCTAAAAACACGGAGCCTAACTTTAGCTAGATAGCTAGCTAGCTAGCTGCTATGAAGATGTCATGTCATGCCATTGGAAGAGTGGGTGAGTGACTAACTTTTTCCCCTTGTATCGTTTTTCGGTGGCTATACACAGCTAGAGATGCAGGTGTCATTTGGTTAGCTAGCAAGAACTTGAATGGCTGTTATCCAGTTAGCATATCTCTTGCATTCGCAAATTCACTCTGGCTATATACTCTAATTTCAGAGTACTCTTGTCTGAGTGTGCCAGAGCGCAGAACAACTGATGAATTTACAAACGCGCAACACCTGCTGAATATGACCGGTGTCAGTAAACATAGACAAAAAAAGTAATAGTTAGTCAAGAACAATCTAGATAACATGTAAACAGCCTAACCAGCTCTGCTTCGGTGAGTAAAATTGTCAGAGTGAGGTGTTCTCTCATTTGTGTCTGGAAGTAGGAAGCTAGCAAGCTAGCCAACTTTAGCCAGTTAGCTTGGGTGCTTGATTGGGACAAGCGTGCATTGGCAGGCAAGCTGCAGAAGGACGAGGAGGCTACAATTCCCCATCGTTAATCAGTGCAATTTTGACAGCCAACTAGCTGAAAAAGTTTGAGAGGGTTTATCTAATGTTCCTTTGTTATGATTTTAGCTCATCTTGCTCTCGCTATTATTAGTTGTTGATCTTGTTGTTGTTGATGTGCATAACTGAGGGAGAGATAGCCTACCTTTTCATGGTTGTTTGATCAATAGTACTGTAAAGTTCCCAAATGTAAGAGGACTCCCATGGTGTTTACACATTTGCAGAAATCCATTCAGGTGTATTTTGTGGCTTTTGGCGAATGTGTTCTAATGATCTAAAGTCGCGCTGTTGCAACTACCTGTAAACACACAGTCGAGTTCAAAGTGAATGATGGTAGGCCCATGTGGCAAATGGCTTGTTTGAGAGAGAAGAGAGGAGGAGAAGAGATGAGAGAAGAGAGGAGAGGGGAGAAGAGAGGAGAGAAGAGGAGAGGAGAGAAGAGAGGAGAGAAGAGTTGGAGAGAAGGGAGGAGGAGAAGAGAGAGAAGAGAGGAGGAGAGGAGAAGAGAGGAGAGAAGATAAAGGAGTAAGGAGAGGAGAGGAGGAGAAAAGAGAGGAGAGAACACAGGGGGAGAAGAGAGGGGAGAAGAGAGAGGAGAGGAGAGGAGAGGAGAGGAGGGAGAGGAGAGGAGAGGAGAGGAGAGGAGAGGAGAGGAGAGGGAGAGGAGAGGAGAGGAGAGGAGAGGAGAGGAGAGGAGAGGAGAGGAGAGGAGAGGAGAGGAGAGGAGAGAGAGAGAAGAGGAGAGAGGGGAGAAGAGAGGAGAGAGGGGAGAAGACAGGGGAGAGGAGAGAAAAGAGAAGAGGAGAGAGGAGAGAAGAGAGGAGGAGAGGAGGAGAGAAGAGAGGAGAGAGGAGAGAGGACAGGAGAGAGGAGAAGACAGGGGGAGAGAGAGAGGGGAGAATAGAGAAGAGGAGAGGGGAGAGGAGAGGAGAAGAGAAGAGAGGGGAGAAGAGAGGGGAGAAGAGAGGAGAGGAGAGAAGAGAGGAGGAGAGAAGAGAGGAGAGGAGAGGAGAGGAGAGGAGAGGAGAGGAGAGGAGAGGAGAGGAGAGGAGAGGAGAGGAGAGGAGAGGAGAGGAGAGGAGAGGAGAGGAGAGGAGAGGAGAGGAGAGGAGAGGAGAGGAGAGGAGAGGAGAGGGAAAAAAGAGCATACTTGCAGCCACCTGGCTCTTTGCAGTGTCCATGTTCTGTACTGCAGCCCTGCCGGCAAATAGGTGTGTTACATTCTGGATGAGTTGGACCGCAGAGTGAAAGAAAAGCAGCCAACAAGTGATCAGCATATGTGGGAACTCCTTCAAGACTGTTGGAAAAGCATTCCAGGTGAAGCTGGTTGAGAGAATGCCAAGAGTGTGCAAAGCTGTCATCAAGGCAAAGGGTGGCTACTTTGAAGAATCTAAAATCTAAAATATATTTTGATTTTTTAACACTTTTTTGGTTACTACATGATTCCATATGTGTTATTTCATTGTTTTGATGTCTTCACTATTATTCTACAATGTAGAAAATAGTAAAAATAAAGAAAAATGAGTAGGTGTGTCCAAACCTTTGACTGGTACTGTAGATATGGTCATTTTCACGTTTTGATAAATTGTGTTCTAGCTGGCTATAGGGTCTGAGGGAGTGGAGCTGCCTGGCTATAGGGTCTGAGGGAGTGGAGATGTGGTATGGGGTCTGAACTAAACCCAACCCTAGTCCCTCTGTCTGTTCATGGTTGTGTCTGCGTGCTGGCCAAGGGCTGTTCATGGTTGTGTCTGCGTGCTGGCCAAGGGCTGTTCATGGATGTGTCTGCGTGCTGGCCAAGGGCTGTTCATGGTTGTGTCTGTGTGCTGGCCAAGGGATTGGGCATGTGTGCTCGGCGGTTCCACTTTTTGCCTAATAGAGTATTAACAGATAATCACTATGGAATTCTGAGCAATTCCGAAATGAGTGATGGAGTCTTGGCTTGGAGCTTGGCTGTATGAGGTCATGTGTAATGGGCTAAATGCCAAACAGCCAAACAGCCAGCTATGTTGGAATGATTTGCAGGTTCTGTAATAGAACAGTCCTTATTAGTCAGATGGATCAAAACTGTTCGCTGCTCTGGCACCCCAATGGTGGAACAAGCTCCCTCACGACGCCAGGACAGCGGAGTCACTCACCACCTTCCGGAGACACTTGAAACCCCACCTCTTTAAGGAATACCTGGGATAGGATAAAGTAATCCTTCTACCCCCCCTTACCCCACCCCCAAAAAAATTATTTACAAAAGAAAAGAAAAAAAAAACATATTGTAAAGTGGTTGTCCCACTGGCTATAAGGTGAATGCACCAATTTGTAAGTCGCTCTGGATAAGAGCGTCTGCTAAATGACGTAAATGTAAATGTACCTCATGAAGCTGGATGAGAGAATGCCAAGAGTGTGCAAAGCTGTCATCAAGGCAAAGGGTGGCTACTTTGAAGAATCTCTCAAATAATATATATTATGATTTGTTTAACACTTTTTTGGTTCCTACATGATTCCATATGTGTTATTTCATAGTTTTGATGTCTTCACTATTATTCTAAAATGTAGAAAATAATAAAAAAATTAAGAAAAAGCCTGGAATTAGTAGGTGTGTCCAAACTTTTGACTGGTACTGTAAGTGGTCACTTGTCAGAAAATGTTTTTAAAAGTGTCATATTCTTCCTGGAGGTGTATATGAACAGATTTTAATAAGATTTCATATTGCTAAAATGCTGTCAGTTCCACTTTAAATGTTATTCTTGAAAAGGGAGAAGCTAACAAATTAGCAACATCATCCTCTTTGATAACACCTGCTGCAGCCGCTGCAAACTAGCCAACAAAAGCTAGCTAGCTAGACCATGGGAACACTACTGCTTGCTATTGGGCAGTGACCCGTTGGCCTTCAAGAAGGCAGAAGTTTCCATACGTTTTTGTAAAAACGGTCCCACCCATTAAGTCAAAATGTGATAGGTTGATTCCACTGTCACTCCACAATTTTGCCCTAATACAGTTGAATGGCAGATGCCTTTATCTAGCTTATGATGGCCTAGCCAATGGCTGACTTAGCTAGCTAGATTTATGTCCCCAGAGACCAGCAAAAATAAAAATCCTGATTGGATATTTTTTCTCTTCAGTGTTAACCCTTTCCTTTCCAACACAAACTGAAGAGATTAAATCAGAACATAATTGAAAATAATATAATTATCATTATTATCATATAATCATTATTTTATCAATCCTTAGCCCTTCTCCGAAGGTGTGGAAGGCCAATTGTTCTCCACCGTGTTCAAGTTAGTAATAATTTGTAGAGTGGCTCTATTTTCCCTCAGCTCCGGACTTGGTCTTGAATCGGTCTCGCTTTAGGTTTTCTCGAACACAACACTGCTTAAAGATAAACACATCAACATGATAAAATGTAGTTGGGTAACAGTGGCCGTATATAAATATATACATCCGTCGTCAGGGCTGGTGGTGGTGGTGGGGATGGCTGGGTGCCAGACGTCAGTGCTCTGCTCCACAGTCTGAAAGAAGTGCAACATTGTCCAGCCAGGCTCCGGGTATAGAGCTCAACGCCTGTCCAAATGGAACACGTACCCAGACTGAGACTGCTGCAAAACCCCCCTCAGACTGTTTACACCACAGGAGGTTGGTGGCGTCTTAATTGGAGAAAACAGACTCGTGGTAGTGGCTGGAGCGGAATAGGTGGAATGGTATCAAATAAATCAAACACATGGTTTCCATGTGTTTGATGCCATTCCATTCCCACCGTAACATACATTATTATGAGGCGTCCTCCTCTCAGCAGTCTCCTGTGGTCTACACACTCTGTCTTTCATAGGCCTGCTTGCAGAATGTGTATGGTGCAGCGCGAGTCAATGAAGAACTCCTAGAAAAACCTTGGTTGGCCAACTAATATTCTCTGACGTGACGTAACGACGTCTGCTCGTCTCACTTCCTGGTTGACCGTGTGAATTTGTCCAAACGTGACCGCATGTTCTGTGTACAGGTAGAAGAGATACAATAAATATTTTTTTTGTACCTCATGGCTTCTGTCAGTGACCTGCACGCACGACGAGATGAAAAGAATAATACACGCACTCTGTTTAACTCAGAAGGCGTTTATGAAGCAGCAGAAGATAATTCATCCCAGATCATTCTGGAGACCCCAGATCCTGATATCGTCAAAACAATTTCACATTATTTCGAGGCTGCTCTCAGTGGGCAGAAATATGTGGTATCCCACCCCGTCACAGACCATGGTACTGAGTCTTCAGCAGACAGGTAAGCACACATGGAAATATTAACCCTGATGAATTGGTTAAAAGTCAGTGCTGTGCCCTCAGCAGTGCTTCTTTATAAATGTGTGAAGCATTCAGAATAGATTCCGATAGCTAGCTTATTACAATGTAGAGAAATGTAAATGTAATTAACATTACAATTCACACAACCAAAAGTGTGAATAATGCAATATTTGCCTTTGCTCACACATATTAATGTATCAGCAGTGATTCAGGGGACAGCCTGTTCATAACTCAAGTGCCAGTGTCTGAGGTGGTGAGGTCTGTGAGAAGATGTCACTCAAAGGAGAGGTCAGAGTTCACATGTACCATAGAATCAGGGGAGGAAGATGGACCTGCCACTCCCCAAAGGAAGCAGCAGGTCTCACCTGCAATGAAACATCACAAGAGGAAAGCAGAGAAGCATGGCCTGAAAAAGTACTCCTTTCCCTTCCTGGGGAGCATTTACAGAAGTAAACACCTATCTAGTAGAGAAAGGGCTTACAGAAACACACACCTACCACTATTAAAGAGTGTGACCTTCGCGGTAAGTAGGCAGCACTCCTTGTGTCAAATTCCTATTGTTAAAAAAAATCTGCCATAAAATAAAACAGAAGTCCAGCTTCTGATACTTATAATTTGGATCATATATAGGCCTAATGTATTTGTGGGTAACTAATGTGTCATATGCTTCTAAATGTTTTCTCAGTCTCACTGACATTAAATCCCTTTTTGTTTCCAATAGAGTAAGGCAATTGGAGGCTTTTTTAGATGTGTCAAAACACTGAAGAAGTTCTCTAAAGGAAAAGTGACTTTAGCCTCAGCTTTACCAAATAGATATCTGGATGAGGAAGGTGAACTATCTCCACTGTCAGAGTAAGTTTTCTACAGCTCTCAATTTTGAAATAAGAAAAGGTTATAATTGCTGGAGATGGTCAGTGCTCTTTTGGTAGATTTGAGCTGTGAAACAGAGGGCAGACCACATTTCTTCCTTTGAGCTTCTTTATAATGATTGTATATTTCTGAGGTGTATAATGCTGGGTCTTTCTTTGGACCTACAGACAGGAGGAGGAATCTAAAGGTAGTGATGATGACATCAGAGTGGTGGTGAGTATGATCAAATAATCGTACATTTTATCTAGGCTCTTTTTCTCATAGCATCATATGAGTCAATGATTTGGCATTTAACGTCTGGCAGTACATTTATCAAAACATTTATTTCTTACAGGAAAATGAACTTTTAACGCCATTTCTGAAAAAGAAAAAAAGGCAAACTTGGCGTCATCCATTATCTGAAGCTGAAAAGCAATGCAGAAAGTTTTCATCTGTAAGCAAATACTTCACCACCAAGACAAAGAAACAGAGCACAAAGAAAACACAACACCTCCCTCATGTCAAACAAACTCTTTCCTTGGTTTCCAAAATGATTAAAGACACAACATCAAAGCGGAGTGTTGCTGGATCACGGCGAATCATACCTGAGAAATGTAACATGGCAGAAGAGGAGACTAACCCAGAGTCAGTCAATTGCGTTAGGAGATGTTCATCTGGTAGGAGTTTGGTCCGCAATGAAACTGATGCAGAAGAACCTGGGATACAATTAGCTGACAATACAGATGGACAGGAAGAGAACGACAACATGGACATTTCATTGACAGAATGGAAGACAATGCTGAATATCGGATTTGTCAGTGAGGAAGGAGAGAGGAGTAGAATAGACCAGGCAGTGGACATAATGAGTTCACCAATTAATGAAGTGCAGGAAAGTGAAGGAAGCTGTTTGGAGAGGACCCAAGTGAACAGAGCCATGACCTCCAGTGTGACTGGACCTTGCCCTGATCGTGACCATCAGAACCAGACAAGAGAAACAGAGGCTGATCCTGGAATTAAAGGTCACAACCCCCCTTCAACAGATCTAGAGCTCACAAATTACTGTACAAATGTTGATGCTGGGGGAGACGATGAACAGAAGGGAAAGAAGAGGAAGAAAAAGAACAGGAAAAGAGAGAGAGGAGATGATGAAAGTATAGAGGACCGAGTTGGGCAGAATCATAGCCAAGAGGCTCCAGATGATCAGGAACTAGTCACCTGTGTGAGTACAGGCACCATACAGGGAGGAGAGGCTACTGAGATAACCCAGGATAACAAGGCAGAGCATTCCGTGTCTGGTGAAATGATTATGCCACGTAAAAAGAAGAGAAAAAAGGAGAGGAGGGAGTCACCATGCCAGGCTGATACAGATATAGGGCTAAGACAGGAAGAGAACGCCAAGCTATCATCCCATGCTGGAGGTGGTGCTATAGTTCAGACTGATGACATAGAACTGAAGAAAATAAAGAAAAAGGATAAGAATTCCACAGCACATGCCATCCCGGAGGAAGGACCAGAAAAAGAACATTTTCAGAACTTGAGTTTAGAATCACAGTTAGATGAGGTAATAGGACCCCAAAAGGGAACAAACATTTCAACCCTCCCTCAAGATACTGTCACAAACCTACAGGTAAACACTACTGAGATAAGACAGAAAACAATTGAGTGCTCTATAGTCCAACTTACTGAATTTGTAGCCCAGAGAAAGAAGTATAAAACCATGGCACCTATAGAGAATTCTTTGACACGGAGTGATGGCACAGTTTCTTTTAGGAAGAAGAAAAAGGCAAAGAAAGATTGGGATTCCTTCTGCAGCAATGAAATGGCTGGGAATGATACTGAAATTCCTCTGTCTACAAGTACTTTATCTCAATCTGGTGAAATCGATACACTGGAGAAGAAAAAACACAAACGAGATAAGAAACAGAATTCTGACACACATGAAGATTCTGAGACCAGACCCAAAGAGAATGTTAAGACCCATGAGCGGTCTGAAGACATGTTCACGGAGAAGAAGAGGAAAAAGAAGAAGAGGAGGAGATCTTCAACTGACGAGGGCGCCATTGTTCAACAACAAGAGGATAATACTCCAAAATTCCATGTCACCCTCAAGAGTTCTGTGTCTGAATCCATTGACACTGTGCCACCAAGAAAGAAGGAGAAGAAAGATAAAGATAGGGATTTAGTAACTCCTTTGAGCGCAGAGGAGAGCCATCAAAAGGACAACATACCACCTGAAACAGATGAGATCACTAGCCCAAGAAAGCTGAAGAAAAAAAAGCGAGATGGGTCTAAAGACACTTGTTCTGTCATACACAAGGATACAGCAGCTCCACTGGAAAAAGAGAGTATTGGCATATCTTTGGAGGGATGTGAGAGTTTTGCTTTGACACCAGATTACATGGTTTCTCAGAGAAAAACAAAGAAAAATAAGAATTCCCTCACCCAACATGATCCTGAGGAAAGACTGAAAAATGATGCAACTAAAATATCTCAGAGGATGAGCGCAGCTGTTAAAAATTCTAGACCGGAAGAGAAAAAAGAGATAGTTACAACTGAAGTGAGACTTGAAGCTGAAAGTGCCTTTATATCCTCCAAGAGGAAGAGGAAAAAGACAAAGAGGAGGAAATCCACTGATAACGAAGCACCAGAGGTAGGACATCAAGATAATGATAACACTGCAATATTAATTGAAACGACTCAGAGTTCTATCACCCAATACACAGAAACAGAGTCACAGAAAAAGAAGAAGAAGAAGAAGAAGAAAAATAGAAAAACTAACAAGGAATCAGTTGCCCCGGAGGGCACAGATTGAAGACAGGCCGGGGAGATGATGTCAGCGGCAGCGTCAGACTCTCTGCCTTTACCACAGATTAATCCTGATCCTGTATCAAACTCCCATGAACTGGTTTCATCAGCAGAGAAGAAGAAAAAGAAGCATGGAAAAGACAAGAGGGTGATGTATGTATAATGCAAATCAGGATTACTTCGCAACTGAACACAATGACTCAGTGGTGATGACATGAAGCATGCCATCTGAATAAAACAACCCATAGCTTGGAGAGGATTTTTGATGGGTGGCCTTTGGTTATAAGGGAACAGATTTTTAAATGAGTGGATTCATTGTACAGCACCTCGATGGCGGCTATTCTTCCACTCTTTAAAGACGCTTGTATGAGCATTCAGATGAGCAATTAACATATTCAGATGATAAATGTGCATGCATAGGCTACTCAGATAAACAGTGAACGTTTTCAGTGTAAAGTTAACACTAAATGGTGTTTTGTAAATAATATTTCTTATCCTACCCTGCCACCTAGTGGACATCATAAGACAACACCATACTGGTTTTACTCATAGACTGGTTTTATTACAGTGTAAGTAACATGTTTATAACTTGGATTCTAGTGTCATGATGTTTCATTATGCCTACACCATATACTGTATGCCAGTGCTGCATGAGAGAGTGATTAATGTGTACATTTAATCAGATTTGTTTCTTGTTCAGTTTTGAAATAGATTACATTTCTAATGTAATTCCCTTCAGTAAGGGACATTGATGCAATATCCATTGTGTGCAGTGCATTGTATGAAGGCCTAGTCTAAACATTGCCTCCACAACCATTATAGATATAGTAATACTTTTGATATTAGCCCCATACTAGTGTACTTGTAAGTATGACTGTCTATTGAAGGATACACAATAAATGTACAGTTTATTAATGTTTTATTGTAAGACTAATGTTATTGATTAGCAGCACTGTATTCATAGGGTCAGATCTAGTTCAGGCAAATATTGTCTGGACAGATATCGGCCTACAATAACCTAAAAAACATAAGTTAATATTTAATTATGGAATATGAATTGATAATCTGGTTGCAACAGAATAATTAATAATATGGTTGCAACTTTAAGATTAACTGTGAAAAGGCTTAATTATACACACCAAAAAGAAGAGTCATATGTTTTTCTTCTGTATGAAATTGTAAAACCATATCACAACTAATCCGTAGCAAATCCATAATGGATAGCCTAGTATGTAGGCTATTGTGGGAGGATCTTAACCCAACCTTCTCAAGTAATGTACAACACGACGGAGTTATGTTCGGTGGTGAGTGGTCACAATAGTCCAGCGGCGGTATTATGTAAGTGTACTACCCGAACAGCATTCATATCACAATTGGTTAAGAAACGTCAACAGTGGTTTTTATAGCCCTGGCAACTTTCCGCGGCTGCTCTCGGAGTCCTCAAGCTCGCGCTTTCATCTGAGGGCTTGTATCAACTCTTCAATATTTCAGCCCTCACCACCACTATGACTTCAAGTACCAATGTCTCTTGTTTTCACGAGGCTAGAAGAGTTGCTATTTTTGGAGGCACGCACGGCAATGAAATGTCAGGCGTAACGCTTGTAAATCTGTGGATACAGAATGGAAAAGAGATCCAAAGAAAGGGAGTTGAGACGAAACCCTTCATAACGAACCCAAGAGCCGTGGAGAAATGCACTAGATATGTGGACACAGATCTTAACAGAGCGTTCACGACAGAGAATCTCAGGTAAACAGCAGGGACCTTTGACGTTGAGTCATGTTTATCTGTCTGTCCAGTGTTATTTAGTTCTCAATACCCAAATACACTGAATGTCTATATTGTCTAGAGACGACTGGAATTGCCATATTATAGATGTTCTTATTTTTATATATATTGTGGCCCCATGGTGCTAAGAATTTATGTTTATTATGGCATATTATAAGCAATTGCCAAACAGCTTATTATGGAAATCCTAAAGTTTGTGATTTTCTTGAAAAAAAAGGTTGGACAGCTCCAATTACAGCAAAGTTACTGTATTCATGCTCACACAGACTCTCAGCTGATTTACAGCCAGCTTCTGGGCAAAACGTGAGCAGAACATGAATGAGTTACAGATGAGCTTGGAGTTGGTCCAAGTGCATGACAGCGGAAGGATGTGACTGACAGAAGTTCATGTTTCATAATACAGCAGGCTCTTCAACAGTAGCCTATTCATTAAATTACATGTGTAATTATTTATTTTGCTTCTAACTTGGCATTATGCCCCAATTGCAAAATAATCAACGTTTGAAAACTTTAGTATGTATGCAGGGGAAGCAAGCACCTTCCATCTCCTTGCTATCATGATGTAGGTAGGCTGAAATCCACATTTTTAACCTTCAAAATATAGTCAAATTGTAGAATTGATGCTTCTCTTCTGTGTCTGTAGATGTAGTCAAATAGATTAGAAACTCATTTTTCATTGGAGTATTGCATTTACTCAGCAGACTCCACTCTAGTCACACTACTATGTTGTTGACACATCTTTTAGGCAGGCTAAGCTGATTACCTCCTTGAAGACATATTCTAATTATAGCGTTTCTATTTATATCAGGCCTATGTACTGCATTCCTGATTCCAAGATACATTCCTGTAATGTTTCTGTGGTTTTCTACTGACATTGATATACTGGCATGGTATTTGGTGTAGGCTGGTTGGTAGGCCTATAGTTGTCTTTTAACCAATCAACCACACATTTTTCATAATCTATCTGGCATAGTTTTTCTTTTATAGCCTACTGAGGGTGGAGAATAACTGCATTTTGACAGACCTACCTGTCTCTATTGTGCTACATGATAGTCCTAACTATCCGGACATTGCTAGATATGCAGTCAAAAGGGGAGTTGGGTGGGGGGAGAGAAAGAGACAAAAATGGGTAGCACAGGTGCCATTATGCTATTGGGGCGGCTTGGAGAACATGCTGGTTCAGCATTAGAGCATTTGTTGTTTTGGAATTGTTAAAAAAGGCAGAGAGGAAGGAAACATTTCAGCTATCCAATGGTAATGTGAATCAAGGTTGTGAGCATAGGTTGCAGCATGATAAGAATCATTGAAGATTAGCTTAGTCATTAGTTTATAAGACGTTCAGAAATTTTATAATAATTGCTCAGAAATGCTTGCCAGTCGAGTGATGACTCAAACTGAATTCTTCCGCTTCTCTATGTTCTCTACATACTTCAGTCTGAGACTGCCATCATTGAAGTCGTTTGTGGTGACGACAAAATTAGGTGTGTTGAACAAAACAACGTCATCAGCGATTGGATCATCTCTAACCAATCAGAGTATCAAAGCCAATGACACATTTTCCAAATGCCGCTTTACCCACATATGTTCTGGCTCTGGCCCAACCCATCAGTTTCTGGGACCAATCAGAACGGTTAGAATGTGTTTTCGTTCTAGAAATCGTTGAGGAGGTAATCAGATCCAGACTCATTGCGGAGAAGAAACTAACGTCCGTGGATATGGCATAGTGTTTGGACGGAGCAAGGAGTTAGGGTAGCCAGGCAACAGAACTGCAAGGCTATGAGAATATGGTCCATATAAATGTGCTGCTTTTGACGGTTAGAAAAAGAATATGCTTTGTGATATTGTTGTTCTCCAAAATGTTAGCTTCTGCTGAGTCCCCAACAACCGGATGTTCTGGTTTTCAGGGAAAATGGAAAGAGAGCCTGTGACACGACTTCTGCTTTTAGACGTTAACAAGGCGACACTCGATCTTAACTCCTCTTCCACATTTACTGGATTGGTTCAACAGTGCAGAAGAGAACCTCCCCCCAAAATAGTTTTTCTTCTCGTCAAGACCAGTATGTAGGGGATCTAGTTGCAGGCATTTACAGTGGGGAAAAAAAGTATTTAGTCAGCCACCAATTGTGCAAGTTCTCCCACTTAAAAAGATGAGAGGCCTGTAATTTTCATCATAGGTACACGTCAACTATGACAGACAAATTGAGAAAAAAAATCCAGAAAATCACATTGTAGGATTTTTAATGAATTTATTTGCAAATTATGGTGGAAAATAAGTATATACTTTTTTTCCCCACTGTATTTTATGCCTGCTACATTAGCTTACCAAAATGTAGAAACGTACCCTTTGAATGTGAGCATGATCATACTTCTGTACTCTTAAAGGGATAGCGCAGTTAAAAACGTGATTTTCCTGTTTTAAAAAAATGATTTTTCCACACTATGAGGTCGAAATAACACTCTGAAATTGTGAAAATTATGATAATGCCCTTATGTTTGAAGAAAATGCTTTCCCATCCAGCTTGTAGCAGAGAGGGCGTTTTCAATATTTGTGGCCTACAATTGACCTCTGTCTGGTGAAAGTTTTGATGGCCTTCTTACATAAGGGTTAAAGTGTAAATCTTTTATCACCATTTGTTCATTGTAGCGGACTCCACTGTCAATCATTAACAGGCTCAGTTATTGTAAGGCATGTGCTGTGTTCTGAATCGCATATTTACTAGGGATAATCGGTAGCCTATACAGTTGAAGTCTGAAGTTTATATGCCATACTACTATGGCTGACCCTGTAAAACAACACATTTCACTGCACCTATCCGGTGTGTGTGACAATAAAACAAGTGGTTAACCTGTCAGTGGTGTCTCCACAGCGCCCCTAGTGGAGATGACCTGCCCTACGAGGTCCAGAGGGCCCAGCAGATCAATGAGATATTTGGACCTAAGGGAAGCCCTGAGGCCTACGACGTCATCTTCGACCTCCACAACACCACCTCCAACATGGGTTGTACGCTCATACTGGAGAGCTCCAAGGACCACTTCAACCTCCAGATGATGCATTACATCAAGGTGAACTTAGAAAGTCTTTACTCCCTCTCGCTGGGCCGCTTTCGCAATGACAACATGCTTTTTAGTCGAGGCTTAGGGGGGAATTCTAACTTCCTCAAATGTTCACTTAGTCTCCCATTGACATCAGTGCATGACTAAGTGAAAATTTGACTCAATGGGCTCAATTCGAATTGTAGGCAGTCAATTCAGGAAGTAAACTAAAATTACAATTCAGTAACTGAAAAAAGGACATGTATTTTCAAAAACTTCTCAATAAACTGAAAAGTAGAAGCTATTTATTTCTGAAGTTTTAAAATGTCTGAAGTTTCAATTCAAATCACTTCCTGAAGTGACTGCCGTCAATTCGAATTGAGCCCAACCCTGGTCCGGGAAACTGGCGTTCTGTGTTCCCTCTTAGGTCACTTTGGATAGTAGGGTTAGTTGTATGAATAATTTCATTGATTGAATCACAAGGTTACCTATTAGTGCTCTTTAATGGTAAATGTGGGTTAACTAGAGTGTACCTATAGGGTCAAGGACTCAGGAAGTTAGGTAATGTATTAAGAGGAGGGTTAAAGCCACTTATTTAACACTGGTTTGACTATGGTCTTAAAGTGTTATATTTACTGATGTTGAAAATTGGTCATACTTAGCCTTTTATTGTTATATTTCTGACTAGTGTGTTATTAGTGGCCATATTGTAATGGAAATAATGTGTTCTGTGTTGAGGTTGTGTGTTTGTTCACCTGCTGAGACATCTTTAATTATGTCATGCAGAAAGCCATAGCTCCAGACAGTTGTCCAGTTCTGCTGACTGAACACCCGCTACTCAAGTATTCAACTTCACGCTCTGTGGCCAAGCACCCCATCGGTGAGTTCAAATTCCAGCCTTACAGCCCTTGGGAAAATGTCTGGGAAATACTGTAGCAAGTGGTATTTCACTCTAGCGCGTGTTGAGATGTTGTAGTACATTGGGGCCTTTATTCACTTTTATTTATCTGGGAATACTATGTAATGTAATAGTAATTTTAATCTAGTAATACTATGACATTTTCCATTTTATTAAACAAGTCAAAAATAAGCTAAGTTTAAATTGATTGAATTTGAATTGAATTGAATGTGTCCCTAAAGAAGACAACATATTTATATTTAGAGGATATATTTATATTTAAAACTTTTGAATGCGTTTATTTCAGGTCTAGAGGTTGGCCCACAACCTCAGGGGGTTTTGAGGAGCAACATCTTTGAGTCTATGAGGGTGGTACTGAAACATGCCCTGGACTTCATTGAGCTCTTCAACGAAGGTATGTAACATTTGTGAAAGCTTATAAAAGGTAAACATTCCATAGATTTTGTATGGCACATTAGCTGGCGGTAAATTAATAAGGTTATAAGGTATTAAAAATAAAATACCTCAGCGGTAGTTTGAATGTCCCACTGTCTTATTTTGTTAAGAAAACAATTGTTGTAAGAGAAGGCTTTTTGCAGAACATATTGGTCTCTACTCTACCAATACTATAATAATAAAACAGAAATACACATCTAACATCGACAACATCAACTTTTTTCTTAGAGAAATGTCTAATAGGCTAAGTCGTTTTGTATCTCTTTTTTTGTTTTGTTTAATAGCATTCTCTGCTCCCCCTCCATCCTATCTGGCATCATGAGCATCACTGTAATGACTCAGTTTTTGTGACATTGCTCATGGGTGAGCGAGTCGTGTTCTCTTTACATGCAAACTTTTTTTAAGTAATCCTTCCTCTTCAGCTATTTCATAAGATCCCCTTCCAGTTCCTTCCTTCTTCCAAAGGCAGACAGACAGTGTTTGCAACTTTGAGGTATCATGTAACTTGTACAGATGTAGGATCTTAATTTGACCAGTTTTTCACAGCAGGAAAATAATTATGTAGCAACAGGAAATGTGAGTTATTGTGTGGATTATAATTAATGGACATTTTTGTAGGGGTTAATACATTTTTAGTTAGGGCAAATGTCCTGCAACAACCGGGTGATCAAATTAAGATCCTACATCTGTATATAGCTGTAAAATATGTAAAGGTATGCTTGAAAACTAATGGAAATATGAATGGGTAAAAAGCTGCATGATACCTCAAAACTGCAACCACTGCAACAAGCTTTCCTCCACATCTTCTGTAAACAAGCAGTAGTTGCCAAGAGTGAATTGAAGTTTGAAGTCTGCTCGTTCGTTCCCCTCACTAGGCCCGCTAGGCTGCTCAATGGCATACTTGTTGGAAGTTGGTTAGTTTCCATGTGATTAGGAGCCAGCAGGGTTTTGTAATCTGTTGTCCAGGGGCCTGGCTCCAGGGTCCACAGTGGGGGCCTGATGAATGCTGTGTGCCTTGGTGCTGAATTGTGTTTTCTGCTCTGAGAAATTAAACTGTGTGTGCGGTCCTCCAAAACAACAGTTGGAACTACGGGCTATTTTGAATATGATTGGGGATTAATCAATGAGGGAAGAAAACGTAATGCACACAATCATAGTCAAACTTATTTACAAAATAACACACATACATACTGTACATAGGCTACATTATTATTGATATTTCTCATCACTGTTGAGGATTCTTTTATTTGTGTGCAAGAAAGCTACTTCAGTGCTATTCGTTTTGTCCTTTACTTGATTTTGCATGCACAGTAACAAGTGAGGACGATGTGGTGTGTTGTTTGTATTGTGTAGGCTTGGAGTTTCCCCCTTGTACAGTGGATGTGTTCAGAGTTTCAGAGAAGATTGACTACCCCAGAGACACCAATGGCAACATCATTGCCATGGTGCATCCCAATCTACAGGTACAAAACTGGGCTATTAAATGCTGTAATACTTTTAAATGTCTATTGTTATTTACTTATTCTAACTTTGTGTTCCTTTCAGTTATGTCTGTTTTTGACCCTATGTCTTGGGTAACAAATATTTATTTAGTAGTGAATTTCAATGGCCTGTGATGGTGTATCCAATGACTCAGTCAGAATCCCAGGTTGTTTTCTTTAACTGTGGGGTTGCAGTAGTTTGTTACTCTAACTCTAACTCTTGAGCTTTGAATTTCCTTTTTGTTGTTCATTCCTCATTTAGGACTGTGACTGGGAGCCGCTGAACCCTGGTGACCCTATGTTCCAAATGTTTGACGGGACAACCCTCCGCTACGAAGGTGCTGGCACCGTCTATCCCAGTTTTATTAACGAAGCTGCTTATTATGAGAAGCAGCAGGCGTTTGTAACTACCAGACGAGAGACCTTAGCAGCTGGTGCTATCAAAAAAGCATAGGACAAAGTTACAGTATATAGTTGACTTCAGTTTGTTGTAAGCCCCAGCATTATTCTTTACAGTTAATCTTTATTATATATATACAATATTCTTTATAGTTTTCCCAATGACACTCCACTTAAAAAGAACATCATATCTTTCACATTGATAATTAGAGAGTAATGTTTTATACTCTGTACTTTTTTAGATGTCTTATTGATATGTTGTTCTAAGATCAACTAACTATGCAAAGTGCAGTCACTGTGACTAGAGGCAATGCTATGTTTTTAATGAAGCTGTGAACTTTTTCTATCCTAAGAATTGTTGTGATGAATACATATTCTGTTATTTTTAAATAGATTTTATTAAGCAAACTTAAAGTTTTGTGAAGTGAAAGTAAGTGTATCTATGACAAATACGAAGTACTGCAATCTCACTTAAGCACTGTTCTTAATACTGTATTCTATTTAACCGCTCAGGAAGTTGGGCAATTTTATATTATATCAAAATGATAACGTACAACCTGAGAATCTTTATGTTGTATCTATTATACTTATAATCAAGTTGTTACAACCAATAAGCTAGTGAGCTTGGCCTTAAAATACAATAACAGAACCTCTTGATGCTACCTAACCTCTCTACAGGTGTAGGATCTTAATTTGAGCACTCTTTTAGAATGTTCCTGCACAGCAGGAAATGCAAACTTGTAGTGTATTTGACTTTTAAAAGGCTTATAAAGTTTTTAATTTCCACTTAAAAATGTCAGACTTTATTTGCCTTAACAAAAAATGTATAAACTCCTACAAAAATGTCCATTAATTATAATCCACATAATAATTCACATTTCCTGTTGCTTCAGGATTAAATTAAGATCCTACATATGTATGCAATCAATGCTACCTAACCTTTCTACAATGGTCGCTATTATGGTGCTGCTACTATTGTCCTACTATTGCCTTAAAATAAGTGATTTCTATGATAATTGCATGACATTTGTGAGGGAAAGTTTAATTTGTACCCCAGATGGAATAAATACAGATGCTATTTTGATATGAAGTTGGATATGTAAAGGTGATTTATTTTCACGTGACGATGTGTTTGGTGTCAGAAGGTAGAAAATAGTTGATGATGGTATTATTGTTATTTTGATGTACTGTCAGTGGGTTTTAATGTGTGATGTCCATTATGAAAATAACATATGAGTGGACATATGAAATCTGTTCAAAATATACTGCATGTATATTGTGCAATAATTTCCTTTCCAATAATGTCCTACACATTTGTTGTTTGTTGAAATGTTACGTAGTTATAGCAATAGTTATCTGATTTAAAGATTTAATTCCAATCCCTCAGAACAATTCAATTGTGGTATATGCCATGCCTTTTTTGTAAAAGTGACATAATCAATAAATATGTCATTTGCATTATACCATCAGTAAATTGATCATAGTGGCTTTTATCATACAATTTTGAAAAAATTAAGAAGAAAGCTGTACATGCAATCTTGTATCTTCTGATTATTGGAATCTAAAACAAACTTAGAGATAGATATACAGTATGTATCTATGTACAGTATTTGTTTTCAGAATGGGCCATATCTGCAATGTCATTATGCTATAGAACACAAGAGGGCAGCACAGCTCTATTAACAAACCACTGTTACATTGACGTCATTACAATAATAAAGGCCTCTTGGTCTTGTGGTAAATAGATCATTTAATTAATTGTACCTTTTTCAATCACTGGATCCTAACAAATTAGTCTAATACTAAATTACTTTCATAGGTTGGAACTGTAGTCTTCAATGTGTCACTTTAACTGAGCTCAACAAGCAGGAAGTCTCCAGTTCGTAGATAAGAGCTTTAAGAAGCCATGCCCTGCATATCTGATCTCTGTATTTCTACATACCAGTAGTAGTAACACATTAGCAGAAAGTTCCCATATTTCCTGTAATGTTACCTAACCCGGCACCAGGCAGCACTCTGATTTGTCTAATTGTCTCCCTATTTGAAGTATATCAGCCAGTTACAGTCACTCCTGCTCTATTCATTATTATGGTAATCCAACCAAACTCTCAAACTATTCATTGGTGGTCTATGATTCCCACAGGCAAAATAAAGCTTTTAGGATCATTATTTTTCAGTTCTGGGCAAGGACACTCAAACCCACCAACTGGTCATGTATCCCCCCTCCTCTCTCATGAGTGATATGATGGTTCAGGTTTTTATTGAATAGCATTACAGCTCAGATTTACTGGAAATGTATCTCTTGGCTGGTGTTCAAGTGTTTAGTTGGGTGGATGCAGCCATGTGTATCAGATTTTAGATTATCTAATCGAGTTTTGGGTTTCTCTTCTTGAAAGAAGACATCATTTTCATGTCGCAGAGATTAACATTCTTAGACTGTGTAAGTCTGTGGTATGTCTTTGTGATAAGTTTATTTTCATAAATAATATTATTTGATAAACCAGTAAGCAATGGTAAACAATGCACATTCAGCAATGTGCCATGATTTCTCATTTGCATAAAATGTCATAAGATAAACAAAGCACAATTGCATGTAGATAGCCAACACTCAGGTGACATACAGTAGAAAAACTGGTTGATGTGTGTTCAGTGCATGCTATCCTGTTCCTATGCGCGTGTGTGTGCGAGCGCGGGTGTATGTGTGACAGTGATGCCTGCTGCTGTGCTGGCTGTTTCCTCCTACAGTGGCTTGCGAAAGTATTCACCCCCCTTGGCATTTTTCCTATTTTGTTGCCTTACAACCTGGAATTAAAATGGATTTTTTGGGGGTTTGTATCATTTGATTTACACAAAATGCCTACCACTTTGAAGATGCAAAATAATTTTTATTGTGAAACCAATAAGAAATAAGACAAAAAAACTGAACTTGAGTGTGTATAACTATTCACCCCCCAAAGTCAATACTTTGTAGAGCCACCTTTTGCAGCAATTACAGCTGCAAGTCTCTTGGGGTATGTCTCTATAAGCTTGGCACATCTAGCCACTGGGATTTCTGCCCATTCTTCAAGGCAAAACTGCTCCAGCTCCTTCAAGTTGGATGGGTTCCGCTGGTGAACAGCAATCTTTAAGTCATACCACAGATTCTCAATTGGATTGAGGTCTGGGCTTTGACTAGGCCATTCCAAGACATTTAAATGTTTCGCCTTAAACCACTCGAGTGTTGCTTTAGCAGTATGCTTAGGGTCATTGTCCTGCTGGAAGGTGAACCTCCGTCCCAGTCTCAAATCTCTGGAAGATTGAAACAGGTTTCCCTCAAGAATTTCCTTGTATTTAGCGCCGTCCATCATTCCTTCAATTCTGACCAGTTTCCCAGTCCCTGCCGATGAAAAACATCCCCACAGCATGATGCTGCCACCACCATGCTACACTGTGGGGATGGTGTTCTCGGGGTGATGAGAGGTGTTGGGTTTGCGCCAGAGAAAGTGTTTTCCTTGATGGCCAAAAAGCTCAATTTTAGTCTCATCTGACCAGAGTACCTTCTTCCATATGTTTGGGGAGTCTCCCACATGCCTTTTGGCGAACAGCAAACGTGTTTGCTTATTAAAAGCAATGGCTTTTTTCTGGCCACTCTTCCGTAAAGCCCAGCTCTGTGGAGTGTTCGGCTTCAAGTGGTCCTATGGACAGATACTCCAATCTCCGCTGTGGAGCTTTGCAGCTCCTTCAGGGTTATCTTTGGTATTTTTGTTGCCTCTCTGATTAATGCCCTCCTTGCCTGGTCCGTGAGTTTTGGTGGGCGGCCCTCTCTTGGCAGGTTTGTTGTGGTGCCGTATTCTTTCCATGTTTTAATAATGGATTTAATGGTGCTCCGTGGGATAATCCAACCCTGATCTGTACTTCTCCACAACTTTGTCCCTGACCTGTTTGGAGAGCTCCTTGGTCTTCATGGTGCCGCTTACTTGGTGGTTCCCCTTGCTTAGTGGTGTTGCAGACTCTGGGGCCTTTCAGAACAGGTGTATTATATACTGAGATCATGTGACAGATCATGTGACACTTAGATTGCACACAGGTGGACTTTATTTAACTAATTATGTAACTTCTGAAGGTAATTGGTTGCACCAGATCTTATTTAGGGGCTTCTTAGCAAAGGGGGTGAATACATATGCACACACCACTTTTCCGTAATTATTTTTTTCAAAAAAAATTTAACAAGTAGTTTTTTTCATTTCACTTCACCAATTTGGACTATTTTGTGTATGTCCATTACTTGAAATCCAAATAAAATCAATTTAAATTACAGGTTGTAATGCAACAAAATAGGAAAAACGCCAAGGGGGATGAGTACTTTTGCAAGGCACTGTAGTCCTGATACTGACTTGTCTGATAAACATCCCACACTCAGAGCCTCTTCCTCTGTATAATGTCAAACATCTCCATCCACCAATCAGACAAAAAGGACTGGATAGTCATAAAAATACAACAAACAACAGCTTCCTCCATGTTTTACAGTAGAGTATAACTGTATATTTTCATTAAACTAATTTCTATCGTATGATAATAATAAACGGTGTACTAGCCTACAGCAGTAGACTCGAGAACACTATCTCTAGGCCTATAGATTGAAAGCAACCAACCCCAATGGACTGCATGAGCATGTGTATCAGTAGACACATAGTTCATTCCCATTCTGTCATAGCTGTCCTTGCAGCCAATACAGCTCGGCCTGGACATCATGATACACATATTAAATGTGTGCTGGGCCTCCTAATGGTGTTGACAGCAGGATGGGCAATGGATATGCCTTAAAACAGACTGCCTCAAAACTGAAATGGAGACATGCCTCTGTTATATGGACTGGCGACATGTATGATTAACACAACAACCAATCTAAATGTTTCCATAAGAGGTTATTATACACTCTCTGAAGCAGACAAATCAGGACATTATTCATTAATGTCTTGGATTAGGCTACTGATAAAATATAATCTATCAAGTCATAGGTCCTATTCTAAATATTATAATTATGTAAGATTATAAATTCACATTAACATGCGGCTCAGGTTAATAGAACTCCCTCATGGAATGTTCAAAGGCTGATTTTCCTAATCTTTTTTTTTGTAAGTCAGGTAAAGCCGCAGGTGAACAATCTGCTACAGTCCATGAGGGAGTTCTATTAACCTGAGCTGCGGTGTATCATTCTATTGCCTGTGACATGAACGGGCAAAAGCGGTGAGGAAGGAGCCCCCTTCTCAAATCGAACAGTAAGCTTCTGCTCTGCTCAGTCACGTTGTCAACAAGGCAGCATGGTGCATCATCCAGAAACATATAACAAATATTTTCAATAAAATAAATGTTAGAATTTTCTAAATAATTTTCATTGGGAAGGCAGGTAAAGCGTTTTTATCAAAAGCAATAACTTTTGCATATGAAAACACCATTCAGTCATTGAAAAACATAGCTGGAAAACAACGAATCCTACTCATTACTATACGTGCTTAAAGTGGCTTAGGCTTCGTCACTTTTGTTTTGAGCCGACTTCGTCGTGGGCTTTGAACCGGGCACCTGGATCACGCCCGGGAGCCAGCCGGGTTCCAAAACGAATGCAATCACATTTTACCCGCTGTAAACGCCTTCCACCAGGGTAACTCGGGCCAGATCGAATCCCCTCATTCGAAAAATGAACGCCCCAACATCACTTTGACTGTT